ATGTGGCACGGGTGTGCCAGTCTCCTATGCTCCGAAGTACACGGACGACGACGGGGACCTGCGGGATACTGCAGCGACCCCGAAGGCGGCTTCAACCCAGGAGTCTCGAGGGGGCATACACAATTATGCGAACACGCCGTACCCGGAGCACCCGGGAGAGGCGCCCGAGCTGAAGTCAGCGGAAGTTCGGCACCACCGTGAGCATAGTTCCTATCAATCCACGAGGGGCTCGCGGACATCGGCAAGACCGGCGGAGAGCAGGTCGAATAGGAGGTTCATCGTTCAGCGCATCCTGGCTAGGGAGGCTGGTGAGCCCTTCATCTATGCCGTGATCGTAGGCAGGACCATAAAAACTGGAACCACACTGATTGTTCCCAGTTCCATGAGTATCAGCAGCACTGCCATGGAACCCGGGTGCTCCAACAGGGTACCCCCCGGTAGGTGCCCCTCCACTCGGGCCGCCAAGGGGGCCCAGCGGGACCTTGGCCTCCGCCAGGATGCCCAGGACCTGGTGGTGGAAGTGGAGCATGTCCATGACCACCGCTTCCGCTCCCGCCTTGACCAGGTGGTCCGCCTTGCCCACCACCTCCCCCAGGAGGAGGAGGAGGGGGCGGTCCAGCTTGAACGCGTTCATGCCGAATATTGCAGCGCGCGCATCGCTCAAGGCGAGCGACTCCAAAGTAACTGTGATTCTCACAGACGTGGGTCCCACAATCCGTGCAGAAATACATGGAGACCTCCTGAGCATTCTTGCGACATGCCCAGCACTTCATTTTCAAAAACTGACAATTACTACAGTCACCATCATCGCCCCGGCAAAGCCTGCAAAACTCACGATTGCATGTAACACACGAAAATTCAGCGTCCGGGTGCCTACGGTCGTTGGGCGCAAATCTTCGGCACACCTGGGCCACCGGCACCGGGAGCGCCTCTTGTGGCCGGTGCCGAGGCCTGTCCACGATCAGATGGAGCTCCAGGGGCCCTCCACCTCTCGCCAGGACTCGCAACGTCTGCACTAGCTCTGCTCCCTGGAGTCCTCCAGTCATCGCCGGGACTCTGGGTATCGGCATAAACCCTAATACTCGGAGAGACGTCCCCGCTATCGCGGATCGGTCTATCCAGGTTCGGAGAGATGCTCCCGCTGTCGCGGATTGGCTTGATTGCCGACTTCGGACCTCAGATCCCCTATCGGGGACGGCGGCAGGCCTCGGGCTCCTATTCCTACCCACATCCCTATTTGGAGAAACAGAAATGTCCCCCCTTGCGCGCGCGCGGGGGCCATCCCTCGCACGCCCTGGCGGTGAATGCGACCTGTCAGGCAATCCCCGAGCCCTCCGGCTTCTGCTGTCGGACCTCTCCCTAACGGGATATATGGGATGCCTGTCTGCACGAGAAGGATCGACCCTACCGGGCACACCTGGCAAAGCGTGATCAACCAAATCAACGCGTCCGCCCGGTCTCACCGGAAGGCCAGTACCCTGACCATTTCCTTCTCCGGGAGTGGGCGTCGGAGACCTGATCCTGTGTCCTTGCCCCGCGAAAGCGTCGTACCCAACGTTCCGTCTCTCTCTAGGCTGCGGGGGATTTGCCTGATCGTCTCGGGCACCCTGAATAATGACAGCAGCCTCATCAACCTGACCTTCGATTTCAAAGAGCTGAGCCATGATCCTGTTGTTCATTCCGTTAAGAGTACGAATGTTGCTCTCAACATTGTTGATCCTCCTCACCGAGGCCTCAAGTGTGTTGCGGAATGATTCCAACTCGCGCCTAACGACAGACCGTGCCTGCTCAGTACTTACCGGAAGGCTACGAATCTGCCCCCTGATATCATCAAGAACTTGATTCAGAACTCCCGAGCTCGCCTCAGACCGCTCGACACGGGACTTCACGGTCTCAAACCTCGAGATGATATCGTCATGATCCCGACGTTGACGTTGAACTTCGCGAGCTAGGTCCTGAATCTTCCGATTGACCTCGTCAATTGCCTCATGCCAGTCCTGCGGGGAATCATGCCCTGATGGTCTATCGACCTCCTGGGATCCCCTTCCGTGTTGCAGCCTCGACATCCGATTAGCAAGAAGGGTATGCTCTTTATTTATGCCTTCAATAGATTCGGAGGCCCACCTAGCAAACTTCTCGTGTTCAAGGAGAGCTTTCTCGATCTTCAGGTTTAACTCCCTGAAATTCGCGTCAACCACACTGCTGCTGGCCCTATCGGACGGTTGCGCGACAGGATTCGGGTTCCATATACCTGCTGGCGTCCGCATCCCGACGGTTTTCTCTACCGAGAACATTCGTTTCTCAAGCTTATCCAAATCCTTGAGGATCTCGTCCTCGGAAGCAGCATGGCTCCTGCGGGTAGCCTCACTATTTTCGTGAATCTTCTGGCGAAGCTGATCTGTTGCGAGTTCACTGTCCTTAACAGATTCGTGAATCTCGTGGGAAAGCAGATTGATCCTCTGCTCGACGACTTCAGCCTGTTCATCGATGGCTTGCCTCACAATGGCATTGCTGTCAGGAATAACTTCCCTTGCAAACCGTTGAACTATCATTCGCATCCTCCCGGCATCAGATTGAGTCGCAACCTCAGCTGCCAGGCGATCGACCTTGTCTTTCGTCTGTCGGCTCTCGTCACTCCATTCCCTTCGCATGGAACTCACCTGACCGTTCAGTACCCTGATTTGGTCAGCAAAGATATGGAACGCCTTCGCGACTGAGCCAGAAACCTCACCCCTTTCGAGCATCTCCTGAATGTGCAACTCGAACATCTCCTTTGCCCTGACGTCACCTGATTCGCCAGAAGACTGAGATCTGAGGGCGGGAGGAGTCGATATCTCGATCCTCTCAGGAGCCCTACTAGCCCCGGCATGCCTTCTTGGGTCATCTACGGGACAATCATCAATCCTGGACGGCCTACTCGGGGTGGATCCCCTTCTCCGGCTATCGCCAGATCGGGGATCAACGTTGGATGCACGTGACTCGGGGGTGGAGTGAATGTGAACATCAGCAGGATCAGGCATCTCCTCATCCTGCGGAGTTGAATCCATCGGTGAGGGGCTAGCCCTCCTCGCCTTTGACCTATCGGTCTCAATGGCCAGGGGTGACGGTCTCTTCGCAGAAGCACTACGTTCCCTAGCGGTCGAGCCCCACTGAGGTGTGAACTCGTTGCTAGACCTAAGTGTTTCAAGGTCACTAGTATCTCGCCCTAACGGGCTAGCGATCGACGGATGATCCTCGATTCCGAGTGCATCGGCAAGCCGGCCATCTCTTGCACCTCTCCCAACGACATCGGCAACCCGCTCGGTGATCCTCGGCGAACCAGTAACCCGGTTCGAGTTCACGTCTCTCTGATCCAACGGACCTCCAAAAGTAATGTTAGGAAAAGGGGGAACATTCGGGGTATCACCAATCGCCGGGGGATGTACCGGTCCCTCACGGTCATGGATAGCCTCCAATCCTCGAAGAACTTCCCGACTGTCCCTGGCTCTCTCTCTCTCGCTTCGGCCGTCCCTGTCAACACGAAGGTCCCTGGCGGCTCCACGAGAGAGGCTCCTGGGCCTCGCAGCATCACGGATCCTAGCACTTCGTCGTGATTGGTGCTCTTCCTCATCACGGCGATCCGCAAATGCGGCATACTCGTCATCATTTACCTCAAACTTGGCGGCGGCAGGACTAGTCCTTGCAGCCGCACGGTTGCCTGCACTTCGGCGCGGATGGCTCTCCTCCTCATCCGCAAAATTGTAATCTCCGTCATCATAATACTCAGATTTGGCAGTAATAGGGTTGGGCCTACCGGCATCAGATCCCTGCTTTGAGCTACTGCCCCATCCTGCGGTCGATTTCAACAGATCATCGTATCCGAAATCTGAGAACTTCCGCTCCTCATGCTCATCAAACTGACCTGGATTCTGACAACCAGTGGATCGGCCGGGATACCTCCCGGAGCCAGAACCATAGTCCCTGGTCCCTGCGGCCTATTCTCAAACTCATCCGAGACCTGCGACTCACCTGGAACAAGAGATCTCGGAGGTCGAATCGGCATGGCCTCCGGGTCATCCGAATGAGGGCGGGCCATGTCCATCGCCATGCTGATGAAGTCAAAACGTCCACGCCTATGACCTGATTCAGAGCCACTCCTATCGGAGTAAACCCTTCGTGTCTGCTCGTCATCAGTGGCCTGGCGAAATCCTCGTAGTCATAGTCCGGTAGGTCCTCACCTGAGCGGAGGCCACCTAGGATGGCCTCCTCATCCACGACGCTCCTTCGAGATCGTGGGGTCGACATAGAGCTTGTAGTTGATGGTCTCAAGCGCGTAGGAAAGTCCTACGGCTGATAAACTGTGATTCGGGCACGAGCCTGTGCCCAGGCAATGGGTAAGTTGGGGTAAACAAGCCACAAAAGAAAGGTTCCCCAAAAGCAAACCAATCCCCGGTCCCAAAGATCAGGGTTTCCCACACACCAGAGAACAACAACCAAAGGCAAACAAACCAAACAAGAAAAGGGTTAACCCGCAACCTTGGTCGACAACAGGCCGCACGACTGGTCCCTACCAACCTGGCGGCGGCCCGAGGTCTCTTTCTCCCCCGAGATGCCGTCGGTCGACGCAGGGGTTCGGCGACGCCCATTCGAGGCGCGACGGAACCCAAAACTTGAGCCAAAAAACCACAGGTCGGTCACTAACGCGACGTTCCTGATGATGATATGAACCATGGCTAATCACATATATACATATTATATATATATATATATATATGTCAACACAAATAAATGGTTTCCAATCACCAGCTCGGTATGCAGAATGCAAAGTCACATTCCTATTGCACTCTTAGGCTCAACATCTTGCTGCAAGACTCACCTTCTGGAGGCCATCGCATCCCTGAAACATCGAGCGCGAAACACTCATGCTGTACATGCAATGTGGGATATGCAAGGCCCAAATATCCAAAATGCCTTTGTCATGGCAAAATGTGGGATGGCAAATCGCCAACAAACCATGGGGACGTTGTTCAGCCAGCATGCAATGACGAAACACATCACAAGTGTCTGCCTTCCGCCTGACCTTAGATGTGTTGGGTTGCGTGGCCATATCATGATCCAGACATGCAAATGGCACTTCCAGCAAGCGAGCATGCGAAACCCGCGCGCTGTTCTAACACACGCTCAGCTTGGAAGCTTGTGCTCAGGGGAACTGGATCAGTTGGCTTTGGGTCGCCATCCATCCCTTATTTGGTGCATCAAAAATTGTCATGCCCCCATCGATGGTCCAGTCTTGCCCAGTGATCCAGACACTCTCATCGGAGGCCAGGAAGCACACTGCACGCGCAATGTCCACGCCAGTGCCTGCCCGGCCCACCCGAAGAGGAGTGCAATTGTTGACGATGTTCGCCTCCACCTGCGCCAGGATCAAAATTCCGACCCTGTGGGGCCATGGGCCATGGGGTGCCTCAGTTTGGGGTTGATGAAGTTTAGGACGACCCCCTTTCAACATCCCTTTTCTCATCCCTTTTCTCCCTCTGCGCCTTCTTCTGCTTCTTGGCGTTTTCCACGGCCGTCAGCGTGGCGCCCCGCGCTGAGCCCGGGGATCCGCTCCAGAAGATGGGCGTGGCTGTGGCCCCAGGAGAGACGCAGTTCACACGGACACCTTTGGGCGCCAGCTGCATGGCCGCCACACGGCTGAAGGCGTCCATGGCGCCTTTGCAGGCGCTGTACAGGGGTGCCCCGAAGCCCGCTTTCTTGGCAGCAATCGAGCTGTTGTTGATGATGGACGAGGTTGGCTGCTTGGTGAGGTGTGGCAGCGCATGCTTGGTAGCCAAGACCATGGAATTGAAGTTCAGACTGAAATTTGAGTCCAAATGTTCTTTCTTGATTTGGTCTACCGTGAATGGCCCAAGCATGCCACCAGCATTGTTGAACAGAATGTCGAGCTGTCCCCATTTGTCCACCGTGGTGTCGATGACATGTTTGATTTGCTGCTCATCATTTACATCGCACATGGTAAAGGCACAATTGGCCCCAAGACTCTCCGCGATCTGCTCACCGACCTGCTGGCCGCGTCCACAAAACATCACCTTGGCTCCTTCTTCGACAAAAACCTTCACAGTTTCGAGACCAATGCCGCTGGTGCCGCCTGTGATGATGGCAACCTTCCCATCAAGACGGCCCATTGCTACCCTGCTAGCACGGCCCAGCGCTTTGGCCAGACTCCCGAGATAGGATATGCTAGCAGATATTGAAATGTCAACCATCAAGCAAAGCATGCTTCTCAGCATGCAACTTCGCCTTCGCCAAGGCCGCTCCACATTGAATGTCAGCAAATGTGAAAATTGCTTTGCAAATGCTTATTTTCGACACGCTCTTCCTTGAAATCAACTAAAATCAGGAAAGAAACTAGGCGATGCAATGAACAAACAAAATGTTTCCACATGAAAGTTGCAGGTGCTCCAAATCTGCAGTGCTCCTGCATAACATGCAGCTGCTCCCTGTAAAACATCATGTTTCCACGTGTTGACAAACGTGGTTGCTCCCTCCAACAGGCAGTAAACGAGCACAAGCGCGGTCGGTTCCCCATTGGAACGGCACCACCCCTGTCACGTGCTCCCAACAGGCGTTCGAGGCCGCGCACGCTCCAAGGTGGTAGGAACACTCATTCAAGACCTGCTCAGCGCTGCAAAAATGGCCTGCCAAGCGGCAAGGACACCCACTCACGTGCAGCTGCCTATGTTCCTGCCAACCCTTCAAGCGCGCCCGCTCAGCACTCCAAGCGGCAACAAAACCGCTCCCAAAACATACATGCAAGGAAAGCTCAGACACGCTCGCCGGTGTTGCTCAGAGGTGCAGGCTCTGGGATGCAGTAAGCCACTATGCGTGTTCGACTCATGCTTGCTGCACCCCATGCGGAACCTGAGGATATACCCCCTTCAGAGCTCTGAGCAACTGGTAGAGCAACAAGCCCTTCTTCGGTGCGCATGCAATGCCCTTCAATGCTCCGGGCACCAAGGTGCGTCTGCCGGATGCAAGTGAGCAACGATTTAAGTGACACCACTGAGAAATGCGCGATACCCCTGAGCGACATTTCTGGCAACACTTGCACACACACATGTAAGCGACTTCTGAGCGACACTCCTGAGAAACACTTGCCTCAACCCTCCTGCGGCTTTTCAAAAGCCACCTCCATGTGTGGTCGACGTGAACGTGGGGCGGCACCCCCTCCCAACCCCCCGCAGTTTTAACAAGGTCACCTCCATTTCTTCCAACTGATGAATCTCATTAAACATTGAATTTGGTTCATCTTGATTTTGAAACATGGCAAAGTCTTTATTTGCGTTGTGAAATTCCAATTGTTCCTTCATTTCTTTCAGATATTACAATTTGGTTGATGTGCTTTGTTGTCTCCTCCGTAATAGCAATGGACGCTAGATATATACTTCTGGTTAGGTTTTGTTCTAGGATTATAGAATACATTTGATGTTGGTAATTTACCTGCTTTACCATTCTTTGCAAATGTTGACGTTATATTCTCAAAACCTGGTTCGACATATACTAACAATTAAGTTGCCAATTTGCTTATCATACAAACTTATTTGTCAAATAATTTTACTTGCTAGATTATGAGCCCTCTGTTCACTTTTGTTATCTCGCTGTGCCTTCATATGTTTGTATCTATCTATCTCGGCTTCAAATACTTATGAGCAGTTGTTTCTAAATGTTTCTTAACCTTTGTTCAACTCTTCTTTCTATTTCTTTTTCAACCACTTTTGGAATATTGCCTTTTACTTTGTTGTAAACATCTTCTTTGAATTCCTGCCCTTGGCCTCTGGATTGGTGACCCTTTTTCGAATTTGCTTATCTAAATCTATCACTGTATTAGTGCCCTTCTTCACTCCTCGGCAAATTGTTCCTTCATTGTTTCCTTCATTTGTTTCTCAATTGCTGCTTTTTAACAGATTGAACTTCTTCAGTTACTTCATTCTTTTCAAAAGCTTTATCTTCTTCAACTACTTCACTATTCTCGACAGGGTTAACTTCAAGCTGGCTTAACTTCTTCTACTGCTTCACTAATAACATCCACCACCTCTATTCTACTCATAAATCTATACTAAATATGTTTTATGCTGCATTACAAGTCTCCTCCACGTGTAAATTTACGGGTTAAGACCTGTTGCACTGCTCCTAGCCTGAACCCAAACAACCCTGTCAAAGGGACCACGAAGCGAGAAGAGCGCAAATTCCTTTTTGTTAAGGCCTGTTGCACTGCTCCTAGCTTCAACCCAAACAACCCTCACATCAAAGAACCCCGCAAGTCCAAAAGGCGCGCACGTTAGAATCTTGGTCACTGCTTCAAGCCTACAGGGACATGCAGGGAGAAAAGCATCCGACCGAAGCAAACTCGACACGCGCTTTTTTACTTGAGCGTTGCTTAGAAGTGCAGGCTCTGAGATGCAGGTGGAGTGACGATGCGCGTCCACTCCATCTTCCTGCATCTCATGCGGAGCCTGTCGGAATGCCCCCTGTGGTCAACATTGCGTGTTCGACCATCGCACCCCTGTGGTCAACATTGCGTGTTCGACCATCACATTACCCATGGGGTGTGAGACAAATAGGAGGTATTTTGCACATCGGTATGCAATGCGTGCATAGGTGTGCATGGGAGGAATGCGTCCTCCTGAAGGGGACCAGGCTGGTCCGACAGAATGCCGATGGCATTCAGCGATGTGCGACTGCGTGCACAGCATGGGTTCAAACTGGTGTGGCCAACGAGGAATGCGTCCTCACTGCATAGGCTTAAACTGGTCCTGCGGGATCAGTAAGCCGACAACATGCTTGATGCTGGAAAGCTTGCCGACAACGCGTGTTCAGCAATCAGCTATCAGGCCTCTTTGCACAGGCTAAACGGGTCCTGCGGGACGCAGTAAGCCGACAAAATGTTGGAAGCGGGAAAGCTTGCAACCATGCGTGTTCAGCAACCCAGCAATCAGGCCTTGTGGAAGTTGGTTTCCACCTGGGCCGTGAAAGGGTGGGAGGGTGGGTTCAAAAAGAACGAAAGAGGGGTCAGACCCTCAAGGCATGTCCCTTACTAAAGGGCTTGAAGCACAAACACCCACGCGGCCGAAGATTCAACCAAGATTAAAACACAGGGGAAAAGAAAAACCCCTAGCGTTAGAATCTTGGTCACTGCTTCAAGCCTACAGGGACATGCAGGGAAAAAAGCATCCGACCGAAGCAAACTTGACACGCGCTTTTTTACTTGAGCGTTGCTTAGAAGCGCAGGCTCTGAGATGCAGGTGGAGTGACGATGCGCGTCCACTCCATCTTCCTGCATCTCATGCGGAGCCTGTCGGAATGCCCCCACTTTAGGGTTCTAAGCAAACGGTCAAATCACCTCACCCCCTCTTTAGTGCGTTTGCGATGCAATCACGTGCTCGGGTCTCCACGGTGCGTCCGCAGGGTGCCGACTCTGGAAAGCGGAGGTATTACCTCTGCTGAGTTGGTCCGCCCAGATGTTGTGCTCTCCTGGGATGTGTGACGCGATCACGGACCATTTGTGTTTATGGGCCCAGGCGGCTACAAGTTGCACAAAGACTTGCAAGGGCCATGCTGTGGTGAACAGTTTATTAACGCCTGCCTCGGAGGCCGTGTTATCTGTCCCTGTGGGCATGCAAATGCCACGCACGCTTTGTCCCTCGCAGGACCATGCGATACGCATGAGTGCTAGTTGAGCCAAGGTTTCGAAGCATGCGATGTAGCGCTGGGCTTCTTTGGTGAGGACTGCTCTTGGACTTCCTGGAATTGCCAAGTTTCTGCGAACCAAGAAACGGAGCTGCTGGTGATGAACCAACCCCCTATGCCCACGACACTGCCCTCGGCGCAGGCATCTGCGGCTGCTTTGCATGCCAGCATTGGCTTGCTTCTCAGCGGGCATGCGAGGTCTAAGTGGAAGCATTGCAGCAACCATTCTACGCCATGTTTGCTCATCTTGGACAGGCGAGTGTGCTCTGCGGATGCGTCCGCGACGCGCACCCAGGCGGATTTGTGACTAGGCACAACGCGAGGCAGGTCAGCCCCTTGGAACTCGAGAACTTTAGAGCCTGGTGGCATGAAGATGCCGTGCACTGCTGACCTGAGCACGGCTTTGGTGTCCAATGCTGAAAGGAAGGATGGCCACAAGCGCGCATGGACAGAGATCATGCAACCCGGCGGTGAATGCAAGTCTGTATACAAAGGTGCCAGCCAGGACCTGAGTTCGGGGCTCAGACTGGTCGCCCAAATGAGTAGGCCTAGAACCTGCTCCAAAAGTTTTCGCTTGACCTTCCCCGCTTTGAGCAGCTCGTGCAGCTGCCCTTTTAATTTTAAGGTTTTTTCTGGCGTGAGTTCGATGGTCTCATGCAGGAAATTAATGCGCCACCCACACCACGTGAGGCCATTTTGAAATTGAACCTTCTTCCACAAGATCGGGGCAGAAATTGCTGCAAAGAACATGACCATAAGGGCCAGCTGTGCGTGCGCGTCACTGCGATGCAGTGCTGCCAAAAGGTCATCCACAAACAACCATGCACGATGTGGGTGCAGTTCCAAAATGCCGTGCAGTAGCCTCAGGAGGAATGCTCCGGTGCGCTGCCACCAGTATGCGGAGAAGCGTGCTCCGAAGTGGCAAACCCTATAATGGTACAGGATATCGGCAACACGGAACAGAAGCAGGCCATGTTCACTGGGGTGCACTTGGATCTGCTTATGCGCCGCTTTAAAATCAAAGCTTGCCCCCACAAAGGACGAATGCGTGTCCTCGGGGAGGAATGCTAAGCGCACGTCCGAGGCCATTGGCAGGCTTATGCGTTCTGGAATGGCGCACTTGGGGTTCACCCCACACACTGTGCTGTCTAAGACTAGTCGTGGGTCCTTGCCTTCTGCATGCACGACGTTGAGCTTTCCCACTGCTATGCCTTTATGCCAATGTTGTCTGGCTTGTTCAATGGACATGCCGGTTCGAATGACCCATCCGTTTGCAATTTCCTTTTCCAGCAAGGCTGATACCGTCTCTGGTTCCGCTTCTGCGGCTTTCCAGTTGCCGATGCACTCGGTGAGCTCACTAGGCAGGTCTGCCTGAGGTTTAGGCGGCAGTTCGGACACAGCTCCTGTTGGCACGCCTTCTGCTAGCAGCTGCACTAGTTTGAGGTCTCCGTTGCTAGGGCGTGCAAGAGTGACAGGCGGTACGGTTGTCCTTCAT